TGGGACGTACGAATGACCGGTTATTATATTCCCTTGTCGGCAGACATTTTCCCTGAAACGGTTAATAGAATAGCAATAAACGAGGCCGCCTTTATTGCAGATTTTTGCCCGCCCGTGGAGAGTTGCGTTAACGAAGCGACCGCGTCCCCAGTAATTAAATAACTGGTGTTGTAAAACGTGTTCGCAGGATCGGGCCGAGTGAATTCATGTACAATGTGTGTTGCTGCTTTCTCGTACCGTTCGCCATCCAGACCGCATAATCCGATAAACGTGAGCGGAATCGACGTGGCGGCAATCGGAGCTTGCCGACGTCAACTCGACAAACAGGCTTTATCGCGAGCTTTTCACCCATTTTCGTTACCGTCTCAACAATTTAAACGACTAATCACCGTACCCGAACACCATTAAGTACTTGAGAATCGCTTATTTGCGCAATGAACTTGTACTAAAGCAGATTGAGAATCGTTGAAATATTTAATTGGCAGTATCGTGATATTTGAGATATATATATATACACAACGAAGCGTTGAAATTAAGCTAAGAGGATTGCTGAGAGATTTGAAATATACAATATATATTCCATTCCACAGATTTCAAAAAATTGATACACTTTCTTCGGATAATATAATCGATAACAAAACGATTTCATCTGCGATCACAGAATAATTCGAACGAATTAATATAAGAATAAGAAAATGGAATTTTCCTCTATCAACCTGACGTCGAAGCGTGTCATCTGATGAATAGTTAAAGAACGATATCCCAGAAAAAGTGTTCTATCGCACGCTTTTATCCACAGTTTTTTTTAAGCCGTGTTTTTATCGCTCCTTTATGCAAGAGTTTTATCGCGCATTACGCTTTTATCCCACGTGCCATATTTCGTATACCGATCTAAGCCACGATGATGGAGCCCGAATAATCAAATTGCGCCGCGAGAAAACGCGAATGACATTTTTTTTTTCAATCGATAAAACTGATGGATCGGTGGAAGGATCGACCCGTAGCGTTGAACGCTCACCAATCTCTCTTTCTTTCCTTGCCACCTGGCGAGAAGAGGGGCAAATTCGATCACCTCCCGTTCAATTTCTGTTATTTACCCGTTTGGGTGAACGTCGTTTTCGATCAGTTTCACCTCGCTTGCCAGGAAATTAGTTGCGTTTCCCTTCGGTACACCGGCACCCAAAGGGAATCCCATTGTCGAAGCTTTCGGTAGGTTGCTTGCTTGTTCGAAATATCGAATTTCGCGTGGTAATTCAGCCAGGTCATGGAACGATTGTACGTGAACTTTCGCCGATCGAATTATTATGTTTTAATCGAGGATTAATCGAGGTTTAATCGAAGGGTTAAGGTTGCAGAGGGTAGGTGAATGAGAAAACGCAATTTTTTTTTTTTTTTTTGATATCGATGTTTATTTTATCGATGATCAATTCGTGATTACATTTGGATTAACCTAAAACTATATATTTCGGATAAATATTTAGTTTCCAAGTTGTATAGTTGGTCATAAAAGTAGAGAGTTATATTCGATATTTTATATAAATCGATGTATCAGAGTGGAGTGCAAATAAAACTATTACTACTTATTTAATAAATATTTATTATTTCGTGATACGGGTAAATGGTGTCCGAAAATAGCGTAGAATTTTAATATATTTTTACGACCAGCTATATATCCCGACACTCGTTTATTTTCTATTTTCTCGTTTCATTTTGCACGCGTGCACGAATTAGAGACGAGAAAATATTGCATACGATATTATTAATATAAAATAGCTTAAAAAGCAGAATTAAATTTTATTCATTGAACTGATTCAGGTTAATTTCAATCTTTTTTTGTATTAAAAATCGACAACACGCATTTAATTATTTTCGATTTAATGTGATACTTTGATCTCAATCATTTTCATACAACGTAATCAATAACTCTGATATTAATATATAAATAAATATTAAATTATAAACAATTCTGGCACGTATAAAACGATATCTATTCCGTCGAGTACACGTTACTCTCACACTATTAACCAAATTAACAGCAATTCGAAGTTGGTATAGCGTTGCACGTACAAATGTCTCCGCAATTCCTCTACACGATCACAACTTACATGTATAACTCATATGTATACGCATCGATTCACCGTATTATCTTCGCCTCTTTAGTTTTCCACGTCTCTGAGTCACGGATTGTCGCGCCTATCCTTCATAAGCCCCGCGAATATCCTCGTCTCCCCTTTAGTTTCACGCTGCCAGCGACGAGCAGCCAGCTTGTGTAACTAATTACAAATCTAATCAACGAACTAGCTCGTTACGAACTGCTGTGTACGACAGCAAATTCGTACAAGATCATTCCCCGTTACGTTGTATTTGGTTGAGCGGGGCGTGTAGGCGCGTGTGGCGAGCTGTCGTTTACCCTCGCCGCGAGAACGTTGTTGCAAAACCAAGCTGACGAAGGTTGCATGTGTCTTTATTGCGGCTTGACACTGTGTTCTTCGAATCTCGTGTTGCCTTTTTTATTTTTCGCGGATAAATAAAACGTAAATTTAAAATAATTGGGAAATGTTTGAAAAGGATTTCGCTTGTGTGATTGATTGTGTAAGAAATTCATTTGATAATTGTGCCAACTGATAGAATTATTTACTTGGATTTTGATATGAGATTGAATGATACTGTTTGACAGTTACATATCTCTATCTAAAATCTTTTGCGATGGATGAAGAGAAAGAAGTTAATTAAATCTTAAGTAAAAGACGAAATTGGAAATTTGACATATTTTTTTCTTTCTGTTGAACAAAGAAATTGATAAAGTAAAATATATTTGGAATTTATCGAGACGTTTTCTAGATACGATTCACGTGGAATGATTTCTGCATTACGGTGTAAATGTATTAGTATTCTCGAAAATCCATTCGATTGATAATTGCAGATCGTTTATTATTAAAAACCAGGGTCATATAATTTTCTGACTCTCTCTGTCTTCTGTCGTTCTAGGTTTCCTTTCTGCTCCCAAAATTCGTGGTTTTGAGCACGGGCAACCCTTGACCGTGGAAAGTTTCCATCAACTTGTACATACAACGCGAATTACACGCATCTCCTTTCCCCCCTCCGTTTCAGACTATTCATTCTCGTGTTTGTAGACGTGTGAAACGATCGAAATTGATATAATTCGTTCCTCGAAGTTGGCGATACATTGGCGAATTCTATTCCCTCGTCCACTTCAAAGTTTCACGTTTCTCTTTAACAAGTTCGCAATCGTTGGAAATGATTACAGTTCTGAACGAAGTTTGTAAAAATTAATTAGAATTTCTCTGCAGCGATTCGAGATCCATTAATCGAGCTTAACGAAGTAACGAAGAATTAGAAATAATATATTGAACGATTTTAACATTGATCCAGAATAACGAGCAACAATAATACTCGAAAAATTAAATCATATCTAAAATTGTAAAATTACATCTGTCTTCCACGATTCGTTTACAATTGGAATGTTATTATATGAATAATTAATTAAAATTTTCAGGATTGGCTTCGATCACAAAGTTCGTTTTGTTATTTCGAAATTTCTTAGAATCTCGTCTCGCCAACCAATGTATACAAACGCCATTCTGCCAGACGTTGCCGCCGTGACGTGTAATTTTCACGCCGAGTTCCAAACTCGCGGCCTCGCACACAAACTTATGATGAAGTTCGCCCCAAGAATGAGACGCGAGTCTCAGCTTCGGATTCGGCAAACTAAAATCGTCCCCGGGCCTCGAGGGTTGAACGGATAATTATGTGACTGGAACAACGTGGCGGATATTACGTGACGATAGTTAACGAACGGTGAGCTCGCGTTGCGATTCCTTGCTCGAGTCGAATAGCATGGAACAGTGACAAGTAATTCTCGCGTGATAATGACTGGGGCGATTTTAACGAACCTTCTCGTGTTGCTTGGCTCGGCAACTTGAATTTATAAAGAAATCGTCTCTAAACAAACACGATGAAAGTTATGCGTGAACGAAGCTCGTTCTCGTTTGCTCGATGTTTGATTCGATGTCGTGTTAAAATTTCTGTATTAGCGAAACTCGCTGGATTTTCGAAATAATGAGGCGTGTTTTCGGGAGGGAAACGATGTTGTCGTGAGCTTTTACCGTGAAACAGAAGAGCTTTTTTAAATCGTAACTTTTAGGTACTCTTTGGCGAATCAGAGGCAAACTGGTTTATAGAAATTCGATAACACCGTGTCGGTGTTATCGTAAAATCTTCGTATAAATTCAGTAATAAATGTAAAGAGTGTGATTTATGAGAACAAATATTTCTTTGGGAGAATTTAAAAGATCGCTGTAAGACGAACATCTATTGCGTGGAACTTTTATATTATTCCCATTCCCCGTTCATTTTCGATATTATATCCGTATTTTGTGACACAAACGCTGTAAGGTTTCCCATCAAATCTATCTTATTTGTTCTTCAATAAAAAAAAGATATAAAGTATTTGTGAGGTCAAGGCACGGACAAGCCAATAAAAAAAGCACTTGCCTTAACGTTTTTAAGTCTTGATATAATATTAGTAGTATTATTATAAGTAATATTTTTTAAGAAATAGATACATTTATTACGTAATTTACTTTAAAACATGATTAAACATTTACCTTAAACCTATTAAAATTAAGAAAAATTTGAATCGCTATAACTCCGAAGATAATAACTTTGGATCAATGAATGAACGATTATTAGAAGCGCGGTACTTTGCCCTTTAAAACGCTTTTTCATTTATCTCGATACGACTTCCGGTATCCGAGATATCATCGTGTAAAGAAAAGGTAATTTTTAAACATTTACCTTAAACCTATTAAAATTAAGAAAAATTTGAATCGCTATAACTCCGAAGATAATAACTTTGGATCAATGAATAAACGATCATTAGAAGCGCGGTACTTTGCCCTTTAAAACGCTTTTTCATTTATCCCGATGCCACTTCCGGTATCCGGAATATCCTCGTTTAAAAAAAAGGTAATTTTTAAACATTTACCTTAAACCTATTAAAATTAAGAAAAATTTGAATCGCTATAACTCCGAAGATAATAACTTTGGATCAATGAATAAACGATCATTAGAAGCGCGGTACTTTGCCCTTTAAAACACTTTTTCATTTATCTCGATATGATTTCCGGTTCCCGAGATATCGTCGTGTAAAGAGAAGGGTAATTTTTCATCGTTTACTATCTCCGTCTCTGTCGCTTATCCGAATCTCTCGCTCGCACCTCGCCTCACTGACCTATCTCAAACTCCAGACGAGTGACAGACGCGATTCTTGGAAAAAAACGTAGGATGCATTTCCAGGTAAGTGTATAGGTCATTGACCGCGCCTATTCCTATCTTACGCTATGTTACGCGCTATGGAAACTTCGAATGCTTATATCTCGGCGACGGATTGAGATATCAAGATGAATCAAAAACTGACTCGATTGGCATGATTTCCTCTACTTTTCCAATTGGTTTTGATCACAAAATTTTAAATCCTTTCTCGGATTATTTACATAAAAATTGTAAGTTTCATTTTTACTTTCACATACTTTCTGAAGCATACGTTTCATTAAATTTAATTAAATTATTTAATTTCAGGGTTTTATACTGATGTACAACGAACAATAATAAACACAACGAAACGATCCATGATGATGCAAGATACGTAGAACGAGGAAAATTTTATCAAACAAAAAGGCGTTATTATCTGTACAAGTAGCGACATATATGGTCACGAACTTATGGTTCAAGGCGCGTATACGCCGTGATCTACGATACACAGACCACTTTACATTTATTGCTTGATTCACAGTCCCCGTGTGCGGTTGGTAATCGGCGCGTTAGCCTACTTGGGTGCTCGCCGAGAGGGCAGAACTTTAAACGACGAAACACGTAATTTTCACGACGTGGTGGAAGCTTGGGTGGTGATTCGACTCGGTGTGCACGCCGTGAAGACGCCAACGATGTCGACAACGATAAACTGAAGCTCGTTAACACCAGTAGTGAGCCTGCTTGTACGAGATACGCGGTGGATCTGTGTGCAGATACGTAGAAGTCGTAGGTATCCAGCATCCTTGGCCGTGCACACACCTCCAAGGCTTTGTCCACGAGGCGGAGACCGTAAAACGGAGCTGGTTAAAAAAGAAGCGGAACGAAGCAAATCGAGATAACGTTACGAGCGACACGCTTATGGCTTTTTCATGCACTATATCGAGACTCGGGAATAAATTAAAAATTATTCCACGTGTAAACGATTAAATGGAGCTATTAACCTTACCTCTTATTGAAGAAGCGGCTCTATTGCATTTTTTTTAGTGCTATAATCATATGAAGGAAAGACATACAGAAGTAAGAGAAGATGAATTTCATTCGAAAGAAGAATTGCTATGGAATACTAATGAAAGAGTGAAGATAGATTGGAATACTAATGGAAGAGTGAAGATAGATTTTTATTAGAAGAGTTTAGAATCTTTTAATCAACGATTTTGTTAAGATTTTATACTAAATAAAATAAATGTAATAAATATAATAAAATAAATAAAATTTCAATATTATTCTGTTTTCTTTTCTTTTTTCATTCCAATTCCTTTCTCCTTATTTTTTCTTTTTCCAGAATGGTATCTTAAATAAAGGAAAGAGCGTGTAATTGTCGAATGAAATTTTTAGTGCTGCATTTCAAGGAATGATTCCCGTGAAATAAACACAAGAGAGTATTTAATCGACGAATTTTAAGCGTTAAGTTGAACGCGAATTAATTATAATTCGCGTCGAAACACGTTTCTGACATTGGATCGCGATTGTTTCGCGAATTACGAGCAAGACTCGGTTGAATCGAACGCCCCGACACGCGAAATTCGCTGCTGAATGCACGTCGGGGCTATAAATACGTCGCTCCCGAGAGGGAATCCGTCTGAGAGCGTAGTTTCGTGCGCTGGCGTACTAAGTTAGGCAAAGTAGAAAGCGTAGCAGACGAAAGAAATGGCGAAATGTACAGGAAAAAGAAAAAACGGAAAAAATTAGCGAAAACCCTCGAACCACGATATTTTCGTTTGGTAAGCTGCACCGGTAACTTTTCTCATCGCCTCTACTTTGCGGTTGGCAACTGGTGCATGGGAATAAGGGATGCGCGTGGTACAAATCGTCGGGAAAAAATTCACCGGGGAAAGTCTGCTGGCGTTGAGAAAATTTGTCGAATCACAGAGTAAATTTCTTTTTTCACATTTTCCCTTTCTTGTTTTTCGGTATAATTTTTTTTTATCATTTTTATATGTATGATGTTCTTTATCCTCCTTTCTCCCTTTTTTTGTTCTTTTTCATTGATTTTCACATCGATGAGACGATATCAGGTTAAATTTCAGAGGCGACATTGTCCATTAAATTTTATCCTGTTAATGGTTATCTATTATATTGAATTTTAATGAAATTTATATTAAAAAGTATTACCTCCTAATTATTGACTGTTATGAATAATTAGAATATTAGTGTGATCTTCTTTGTACATGTTTCGATTCAATTATTATTAAATCTCGATTTAAAAATTCTTATAAATTATTTTGTTACAACGATTATTGTGATTAAATTAAATTATACAGACTAAATACAAAATAGTAAATTACGTATGGTTAATTTCGATTGAAATAAATGTTTCATACACATCAACTTAATATGGAAGGAATATATGTAACCTGTTGATTTAGAGGATGAAATGTTCAACAAATTCAATATCCTCTGGCATCTATTTATATAATTTAATAGTGAACTGACGAAAATACCAATCGATAAAGAAATATTAATACTATCAGCGTATATACACCGCATTGGACACATTTCCATCAATTGAACGAATAAATATTCAATATTAATATTCGTGAAAATTATGTGGTAGAGCTGTTGAAATATTTAATTATATCAAAGTAAATATTTAAATACTCAATACAACAAATTCCATTACATTACGTATAAAATTATACGCACTGATTTTCACTGGCTATAACATCTCTTTCAAAACTAATAAAAATTCACAATTATGAAAAATCATATCATCTATATAAAAAATTTTTGTGACACAAAACTAGATTACGTCAGTTTGAATGATAAAATATATCAATCAAAATTGAAAAAATTTAGTTGAATTGCACACACCTAATATTCTATAGAATTCTCAGCATTCTAAAGATATCATATACATACAAGAAATACAAATTATAAAACAAACATTTCAACAAATCAAATATTGTTATCGAATAATACATTTCAATTTTATGACTATAAAAATCAAAAAATATCTGAAAACATATGATATGTCTTATAGAATTTTAATGCCACCTATATGCATATTATATTCTCCTAATGAAAATTCGAAATTTTGATCAAAAATTTTTTGAGAATTATTTCTGCCAAGAATTTATTATGCCACCTCCTTGCATATCATATTCTCCTAATGAAAAGTCGAAATTTTGGTCAAAATTTTTCGGGGAATTATTTCTGCCAAGAATTGATTGTGCCACCTATTTGCATATCATATTCTCCTAATGAAAAATTGAAATTTTGGCCAAAAATTTTCTGAGAATTATTTCTGCCACATTTCTCGCAGAATTTATTATGCCACCTCCTTGCATATCATATTCTCCGAATGAAAAGTCGAAATTTTGGCCAAAAAATTCCTGAGAATTATTTCTGCCAAGAATTTATTGTGCCACCTCCTTGCATATCATATTCTCCGAATGAAAAGTCGAAATTTTGGCCAAAAATTTCCTGAGAATTATTTCTGCTAAGAATTTATTGTGCCACCTCCTTGCATATGATATTCTCCTAATGAAAAGTCGAAATTTTGGCCAAAATTTTTCTAAGAATTATTTCTGCCATATTTCTTTAAGAATTTATTGTGCCATCTCCTTGCATATCATATTCTCCTAATGAAAAGTCGAAATTTTGGGCAAAAATTTCCTGAGA